AAACCGTTTTGAACTCTAACTAACTGGATACATAGTCACACTGTGAGGGACTAACACAGTAACACAATAGCAATCCCCTGCAGACATCATAACTTTATTAAGTTGCTTCATCAGTTACCAAACATCTTTTTCTGTCCAACTGTTACAACAGTAAATATAGTGGAAGTGGAATGTATTAGCAAATAAAAATGTGTCTAATCTTCTCTGGAATGGCATGGAATATTCTCTTTCATCATATTGTCAATGTCTATTAGAAACAGAAGGGTTTGTAGGTGATGTAAGACTGTATGAAGAAAACCATATCCTGCTTGTTGAAGCTAATACATAACAGGTAATAAACAGCATATACCAATGCCCAGGTTGGACAAAGCCTTGGGTGATATAGTCTAGTGTGTTGTATCCCTGCCTGTGGCAGGGAGGTTGGAACTAGATGATCTTAGAGTCTTTTCCAACCCCAACCATTCTATGAGTCTATGATAATGTCTTGAATGTGGATATTATTTCTGACATCATAAGCAGACAGGACTTTAAGTGCTCAAAGTAATGCCTCCAAAAGCAGCAAAATTTTACCAGTCCTCAGTGGTTTGCACAAATTCACACTTCTGGGCACTACTACCATCAGCATTAACAACTGTAGGATCTGTGAGATCCTACAGGCACAGGCAGCATACCCTTCCAGTCATATCTCCATACCCCTCTTGGAGCAGGTGTTGACAGGAGGCTCCAACATTGATGTCCAGGACTGTGGATCTTGAAGGTGACTCTTTGGAGAGAATTGGTTGGTTGGATATTTGAAAGCAGGCAGCCTTAGCCACCAGATCCTTTGAGAGCAGCCACTACATGTTTCTGTGATATTGTAACAAATATAAATGTTCCTCAGTACTTATCACCTGTAAATTGACCGTTGCAATGAAAACCAGCAAAAGACAGCTGGATGTCTAAAAATAAGAGTGTGGCAGAGACAAACCTGACAGGCAAGACAAGGGTGGAACTGTACCTTCTGAGTTTTTTGTTTTGTTTTTTTTTTCTGTACAAGAATAAGCAATGTCTATCCAAAGTACTAGAAATATTAAAGGTTAAACCTTGGCTGTGTGGACTCCAAAGCAGAAGCTTGAACTGACTTTGGAAAGGACAGTATTGTACCTATGCAGATTGCCTTGTAAAAAGACTCTTTCAGTGACCTCTTGGTGGCTCCTGCACTGACACGGACAAGCCCCAAGGGGCTCTTCTAAAGCTGTCATACTACCTTCCATTTGTTCTTTATGTATTTTATGTGCCTAATTAAAATTAAGTTGATCCCCACATACCATGAGGTGATGGAACATGCTCTGATGTAATTCCTGTAGATTCAAAAGAAGAAAAAAATGGACTTGCTTCTCATAGAATCATTTAGGCTACAAAAGACCTTAAAGATCATCATGTTCAACCCTTAACCTGCCACTGCCCCAAGCCCACCACTAAACCATTCCTCTAAGTGTCACATCTACATGTCTTAAATAACCCCAGTAATGGTGATTCCACCACCGCCCTGGGAAGCCTGTGCCAATGCTTGGCAACCAGTTTGGTGAAGAATTTTTTCCTAATCTTTAATCTAAACCTTACCTGGCACAACTCGAGGCCATTTCTATTTGTGCTTTTGGAAATATTGAGGCTGAAGGCCACATTCCTCTCTGTATTTAACTGTGCTTATGTACACAGTCCTCAAACTGTACCAAATTCAGCAGGGTTAGTTATATTCAGAAAGAGAAGCATGTGCTGAGTCCTCGCAAGACTAAGGGTCTAAGGAAACGGTCATTTTCTGTATGGTCATCCTCACCAGCGGGTCATGCAGGTGAGCTGACAAGTTTCAAACACCGTAGGAGGAGGTCTGGAAAATGGCTTGACGACATCTCCCTTTCAGGAATCTCAGCACTTTCTCCTTTTCCCACTAATTGCTTTATGCTTCTAAACCTCTACGAGTCAGTTTAAGGGTAACCCACAAAATAATCATAGAAATTTTGTTTTACCACCATGTATTTTCAGTTTAAACTACATGTAATATGAGAAGCTGACCATATCAGAACAAAACATAAACAAGTATGAGCCAAAAAAAACTTTAAAGCAACATTTTCTCACAATGACTATGAGTAGAGACAGAGGTGCTTGCAAATCAGTAAAAATCAAAGAGAATATATGATAGAATCATAGCATAGTTTGTGTTGGAAGGGACTTTCAAAGGTCATCTCATCCAATCCCCCTGCAGTGAGCAGGGACATCCTGAAGACATCCAGCCTGGCCTTGAATGTCTCCAGGGATGGCAGGAAAGTGTATTTTTTCATTGATTTAATGGTATTAACTAAATATTTTCTTTAAGGAAAAAAAAAATCCATGTGAAAGATCAGCAGTTCAAATTGCTGAACAACATCAGAGGCTGACAGCTATTTAATATAATCAAAACATTGTTTTTCAGTAATGTAATTTACTAAAAGCCGAATATCCAGGGTTGCTGCTACTTGCATCCCTCAGACATAAAAAAGAAACTGTCAAATCTTTTCTGGAAACTTTGCTGGATCCCGAGGCATGCTTGGATACAAGCTTGGATGCTCCCACACTGTCATAGGTCTGAAATGCCAAGGCTTTGTTCAGCTGCTTGCCTGATTTGTTCTTGCTGAACTTGGGCCAACCATAATAACCTCATAAAAGCCTGTATAAGCATGCAGAGTTAAAAGTAGGTGTAGGTAGGAATAGTAACATCTCTTTTCTCTCTCTCCACACTTCTCATCACTGCTGCTGTGTCAGATCCCAGGCAGTGCTTGCCCTGAGGTAAGGAAAGAATGCAGGTTCTGCTCAGCACCCAGAGAGGTGGGGGGAAGGGCAAGCCTTGGCAGCCTGTGTCACTGGAGGGCATTTGAGCACTTGCTCTGGGTTTAAATCCAGGTTTTAAACAGTTTCTTTGATCAGACCAAGAGTGATTTCTACAATCTATTACACTCTGGAATCATCTTTCATTTGGCTCAATACCCAGACCTGTTGTGGTATGCTTTTGGGGATATTTAGCATAGAAATTTGGTTTGCCCTTAGTGAGTATGAGGCTAGTTACCTCCTTAAGAAAATATCACGACATCCAAGGAAGCACTGAAAGTAGCAGTTCATAGATCTGGGACTTTAAGATTAGCTTACAAGTAATCACTGATGCATTCCATCTTTTTAGGCTCATCCCCTTGTAGAACACAGATAACAGTACGTGTTTTACCTTCCTGGATTTTGCAAGGATTAGTTAGTGGGTCTTTTTACGTGTACACTTTGACTTCTGTGGACCATATTTAGCAATGTGATTGTGGCGCCGTAATTCCTTGTAACCACAGGGGAAGCAGGACTTTTGCACCAGTGGTGCATGGGTATATATGCTGCGTATTACAGCTCTGAAAGACAGACAGCTGTTCCCTGCAGCACACCACTTAGCAGCATAGCAGTAGCTGTACAGCTGAGATATTTTTTTACCCTTTCCATTAAGATTAAACCAGAAAAAAAAAAAAAAGGGACTTAACTTCCTGCCTTCACATCACTATGGAATATTTAAACATACATGACTCTCACTTTAAAGTCAAAGTCAACTTTCCCCTGATGTTTGAATGCAATCCCTTTTATTTTGCTAAACTATCTGAGGACAGGCAAATAAATGTTCAGATGGCAGTTGCTACTAATCTGTTCCTTGCAATTATTTTTAGCCATGTACACAGCTAGAAACACTCTACAGCAGAGTCTCTTCTGTATATATATGTGTGCGTATATACATTTTTCTACGCTTACAGTGCCAGGTAAGAGGCTGTCAACATGAGTGCCTTGTAGCTCAGTGGGTAGCTGTCCCAGACTTCCAGTTCACCAGACTTTCATATTTTAACCACATCTTTTTTTTTCCCCACCAGCAGACTCCCGTGCCCCTGTGCCAGCCTGGATGCTGCTCCTTATGAGCCTTGGGGCTGGCAGTGCTGCCTGGGTGCTCCTATGCTTGCCCTAAACCACCACTCCCACTGTGTGACCGCTGGGCTGGCGCAGGAGGAAGCCTTCAGCAGTCCCATTGGCATTTGCAGCCCAAGCAGCTGTTCCTTGTCTCCTCCAGAAGGGCAGTGGGTCAGATCTGCCTGTGGTCAAGGCAGCTGACCTAAACCTCAAATCCCTTCATAGACCAGCTAAATTCTTAGCAGCCACATCCTGCTCTTAAACAGGACACAGAGGATGGGGAATGGTTGGAAACCTTTCGAGTTACTCTGTGGTTGATGTGTTTCAGCAGGGTGGGAGCTCAGAGGGCCTTTAAAGGTACACAGCACAGAGAGGAGCAGATTTGTTCTTATTGATACAAATTACAGTTGGCTTGTTCATTGCTTTGTTGAAGAAATTGGGGCCTGTATGAATAATCTTAGAGAGTGAGTTCCAGAGGTACTAAGAGTCCATTTTACAAAGAATGTAAACAAAACTAAACCTCAGCAGTAGTATGAATACTGTCACAGCAATAATCTGTGGCAAGGCGTGGAATGTGGCAAGGTCTGTAAAACTTAAATCATAATCAAAATATTCATTTTCCCAGATCTCCATCCATCTGCATAGAGGAGCCATTGAAGCACTCCACACGTAGCTCTGGGACCTCTCTAGGGGAAGGTCTGGGAGGGCAGAGAAATCCCCCCAAGCAGCACCTGCTGTGCAGACCCCAGGTACTAGTTGCATGCCTCAGCACGCAGAGTAACAGGTCAGGTGGGAAACCTACCTGTCCCAGCAGTTGCCCATAGCCCTTCTGCCTGCAGAACTAACCAAACTGCGCACAGAGAATGACCGGTGTTCAGCAGAAACTGTTCCAACACATGGTTCACATAGGACAGTCTTTTGTACATAGCTGATAGTTAGGAGGTGCTTAGTCCACAGTTTAAGGTGACAGAAATAGAGCATGTGCTTGCCAGAGTAGTCCCATGAGACCTCAACCCAGCTGTATGTATGCGTGCAGGAGAACAATAGCCTGGAGAGTCTCACCTGATCCAGCTGAAGATGCTATTGCAAGGGCCATTGCAGTGGAGGCTCCCACCACCATTTGCGGAACAGCCGGCCATCCTGTTGGAGAGGTTTATTTTCCCACACCAGTGTCATCTGTGAAAGAGATCCCAATGAGTCAGGAGGTTTTTGTTCCAGCAAATGCTCTTTCTACAAGTACCAGAAATCTAGGGCTGAGAGTTCAGGCTGAGAACTGAGAGTCTAAAGTTTCAGAACGGAGCGTTAGGCACTCAAATGCAGCCTAGAAAGCACTTTCCTTCAAGTCTGTTCCATGGCAGGTGGAGTTCAGGGCTGCAATCCTTCTCAGCACTGCTACAGGCTATGAAGAAATAAGCTTAACAGTTTTTCTTTCCCCTTTCACTTTTGCATTTATCTAGGTAAAAACCTCACAGGGGCTTCCAGTCAAGAGTCAGATGAGATTCATTATTTTTACCATCTAATATTTTCTCCTCTGAATTGCTAGGTCCTTTTCTCCCTGTACTACATTTAGCACGCCTTAGTTTGCTGGATTTCCTCATTATTTAGGTGCAGCTCATTTCCTCATTATGTGCAGCTGTGTGCTGTGCATCAACCATGTGGGTCTTCTAAGATACAAGCTAACAAAGATCAAACTGCACTATTCTTGCTGTGTTTTTCTTGGACACTGGTTCTTCCTAAGCAGCAGTGAGAAGCTGTCTTGGAATTGCTTATATATCTGTAAATATGGTAAATTTCTCTAAGTGCTGCCTGAAATGAAACATGCAGTGAATTTTAAAACGATGGACACAGTGGAATAAATGCAGTGATTTCTGAGAACCTGAAGGGAGTCAGGGAAGAAATACATCAGTTTAAAGAAAAAAAAACCCACTGCTGTCAGAAGTTCAGCTAGCCATGCCCTTCTAATTTCATGATGAAGGTATAAATTCTAGTCCTCAGGAGAGTTATCAGAATGATAACCTTGGAGACCAAAAGCCATTAGTTGGTGAGTCAGAGGTATGGGCTGCTTGCTGGGGAAGTCTGTGGGATTACTGTCATCTTTCCCAGCAGTCATAACATACTGGGTTGCCATGTACAGGTGCGGCATTTAGACTTGTGTTATCTTGAGTACTGATAACAGCTGTTTGTGGCCAGATCAATGTGCAGATATTTACCTGACTTCACTCATGTCACTGCAGAATGCAGTGAGTTCTGGTCCACAGAGGTTATACTGCTAGCAAACAGTTACCAAGCTGGCTGGTTCACAGCTAGATCCTGCAGCTGCACCAGCTACCACAGCAATATTTATATTAATACATCTAGAGACACCTTTTCAAACTTAAAGCAAAGTTCTGTCCCGATATGGGGCAAGAAGTGTAAAGCTAGCCTGAAATTGGTGAAAGCATTCTCCCTGGAAGTACCCTGTGGGGATGATAACAAGGGCAAGGTTAAGCATTTTGTCTTCCATCTGTTACTATCTTTTTAATGACAGACGCTATGGAAGAAAAAAGATCTGAACAATTTGAATCACAACAGCACTGGTGGGGCAGAAGGACTTCAGTTTACATGGCGATTTCCTTCATTCAGCTGTTATCAGTGAACCAGGAGCAATGATGAGGTGATAAAATCCTAAGGCAGCCTTTATGGAGAGCACTGAGGAACCAGGTAGACTGAAGAAACCAGCTTGCCAAGTTTAAACTATAGGTGGTTTCCAAGGAACCCAGAAGAAAATTAAATCCCCACATAATTCACTGATCACGCTACTGAAAACCTGAAATCTCCCCCAAAACCTTTTTCAGTCAAACCCCCAGTTCTTTTGGCTTTTATGGTCTTTGAAACAAAATACCCAAGAGGAACAAGGCAATTGTTAATAACTCTAGCAGGTAACAACTGAAAAAAATTTCTCCCTGCTTCAAACCAGCTGAGACAGCTTCTAAAAAGAGGCATGTGTGCTTTTTCCAGTACAGAGAAGGCTGAACAGCACTATTCCTCTGATACTTTCCACTTGTAGATGTGTAGGGAAAATGAGAAAAGAATCATTAAGCGTTATATATGCAGTAGTTTAAGAGGTCTTCACTTTAGTGTAACCCTGTGTGTTGGAATAAGGTGACTCATTTACAGATTTGCTGGATTTGGAAAGAATAGTGTCCAGGAAACCCATAAATATAACTCGCTAGGATTTATTTCTAGCAGGAAAAAGGCATTTCTGCTTTACCTATCCTGCTTGTCTTTTCCACCAAGCTTCTGATATTGCAGTCATCTACTAACTGGGTGTGCAATCCCCTCTCATCATGTGTATCGTGTTGGCATAACCATTGCCTTACCATCACCCAGCCCCAAAGAGAGCATGAAGTCCAAACACGTTTAAGCCATGTGTGCACTGAAGTGCTGGGAATGTGAAATGTGAGAAAACAGATGTACCGTTGGGCTGTTGCTTACAATTCTTACTATCTCCTTATGCCGTTTCTTATTTATTTGTCACCATCAAGCTCTGCTTATGAGTAATAACCTGCAGAAATAAGCTCTGGACAAACACCAAAATGACAATCTCTTCCCAAAAGAACGTATACACCAAATACTAAACAATAAAAGAACATTTTTTAACTAATGTGCTTGGTTTAATTAATTAATTAATTTATTTTGGGAAGCTACCACTTTCTCTAGCTTGTTTAACAGTTTAGTCTAAAACGTATTTCCTCAAGCAAGTCTTTCTTACATTTCTTGTCTCTAACCAATGTTTTGAATTTCTGCCCTGTGGCTTCAAGCTCATGTGACCAGGAAATAAAGCTGTAGAGCTCTGGCTGCATAATATACTTCACTATAGGTTCACAAGCTTACTGCAAAAGTAGCATTTTCCTGCTACAGCCTAGTCTCCATCCTTTCTTGCAGTTACAGCCATACCTATATTTATCCAGCTCTGGGTAGCTGCTGGTAGTTTCACAGTTCCAGTGCTCCTGAGATAGGAAGTAGGGATAAACTGCAGGAATAAAGACTACACTATTTGCTGTACACTTCATAGCAGGGAGAAAAATCCTCTAGGCAACACAATCCTGTTGTAATTATAATTACAAAAATGGCATTAAAGCAAGATATTCTGGTCAACCAAGCATGAGGTCTGGTAGCTTTGTATTTAAAGCATCAGCTGGGAAGGACAGAGCTTCAGTAAACATCCAGCACAAAAAGAAAAAAAGAATGAAAAATATTAGGTTGAGTTCATATCGTTCTTCCCATAGCAATAAGTAATGCTCATGTTCAGTTTCCCCAGCACATTTTTCTGACTCAGTTGTGGCAGCTTTGATTAGTCAGGGATTGCAAAGCATTTCAGCTTTAAAGGTCAGCTGTTTCAGGGGCCTGAACTCAGTTTACCCTGAATTTTGGTATGCATTGTGTGGTATGCTGGGGGTAGGGCGAGTCTGTCCAACATCAGACATTTGGCTGAGAGAGCCTTCAAAGATATATATCCCCAAAGTCTTATTTTTTCTTAAGCTTGACAAATTATAGCAATTATGGTGTGTGCAGGCTCAGTGATCTTGTTCAGGCCACCAAAGAGCATCCCCACCTCCTGCAGAGCTCCTGCTCTCTGGGCAGGGCAGCACCGCTGCAACTGATAGCCACAAAAGGGCTTTGTAGATGTGAGTCTCAGAGCAAAACCTAGCATTATATGGTGTAACTGGGGAGAAAGGAGTCAAAAACCATTCTACTTCATCAATTCACTCCAGAATACTTGTCATCTTTATGCAGCAAAGCATAAAATGGCTGCAGGCAAACACCAGAAACTCTGCATCTCAGCACAATTTTTATGCTTTGACATGTGCAGACGTACTATAAAATATGTCTTTTCATCAACAAGATGAACCCTGCTATTGTTACTTTGTACTCACTGCCCTATTTTGCAGGAAACTTTTGGTCTGTTTACATCTGTTTATGGAAAGAGAACAAGGGAAAGAGAAAAAAGAGCACCAAACTAGGAAAATGCTTTCTCTGTCAGCGCTACAATATTAATAGTGCTTGCCGTTTCATTCAGCAATAAATAACGAGCCATTCCCCTCTTAAAAAAAGGCAGCAAGAACACACCCTCAGCCAAAACTATCCCAAGCAGAAAGGCCAAGTTTCCATAAGTCAAGACTACATTCATTATATGTCTAAACAGTGCACAGGGTTTGCAGAAAGCAACTCATCTCTTCTAGAGCCACTACTGAATTGCATTTTTGGTGCTTGGCAGAGGTGACCAGGAGAACAATCACTGTTTCTAAGCAGGCCACTTTTTGTGGGGCTGAGAATTCTGAAGCATGGGGAGCAGGGCAGGTCCCAAGCACCCAGCTGTGGGGCAACCAAGGCAGGAGCTCAAGTTCATCGTCCTCTTAAATACAACAATTCTGCCTCTGCACTAATTCATAGAAAGAAGTTACATCATTTCTTGCTAGCTCATAGCTGTCAAATACTACTGTTCAAGCTTCCCATGGCTTCAGTTTCTTTTAAAATCCATATACAGTTACAGAATGCCTGTCTAGCAAACTTGCTGATCTAGCCTAGCTCTTTCCTTTGGAAAGTCTGACATGAAGTAGCTCTGCAAGAAGTTAAAGAGGCAGTATCAAATGTGTTTGCAAAAATGTATTTTTTTAGTATTTGTATTTACCTTCCAGCGGAATAGAATTTCAGGAGCCTGTAAATGATCTCTTCCTTTACAGATCTGGCCCATCCTTCAGGAAGTCAGTTACCTGAGGGCTTAAGCCTAAGGAAGTGCTCTAAGTTATGCACAAATGTCTTTATATTATGAAATGAAGAGCATTGCCATTATTTTTCATGTTTGATTGGTTTGGGTTGATTTTTTTTTTTTTGGATACTGCACTAGTATATAAATGTCTTTTGCAAAATAAGAAAATATTTTTTAATTTTGAATTTTTCTACTAAAGTGTAAGAAAAATTACCGTGTGAGAATAATACCTGCTCGTGCAATCATGTCTGTGATGAAGATCATAACCTTTATTATACTCTTCATACAGGGCATAAGATTTGCTCTTGTTTGCCTCTGCCAGAAGGTAGTGATTACTCCCTTTTCAGACTGGAGCAATTAATCAGGGTAAGCAGCTTCTTCTGAAGTGAATTAAGTTTAATCACATGGTCCAAACTTAATTGCATTCATTGTATTTCTAACATGCCATGACTAACCTTTTTGCTTGATGAAAAAATCAGACAGAAAGAAAATACTGTCTTGAAGATGGCAATGGCTTTTAATAAGAGATTTTTGTGGCAGCTCTTCAAGTTGCAAAAGCACTGTCTGTGTCCCACTAGCCTTAGGCAGATGCGATCCAGAACACTTTTTACATCAACAAAAAGCCCAACAGCAGTTGATGGGATTTTATCAAAATATTATGCTAACTGCCATTAAAAACTGAAGTTACAGCGGCATTTTTATCTTTGCATTCACTGCTGCAGTGAATTGATATTGAAAGGGAAATAAAGCAGAGGTGGTATGGTTAAATCAAAATATGATATATCAATCATAATAAGATATGATAAGTCAAGACAAGATATATCACTATGAATGTGGTGAGGCGCTGGCACAGGTTGCCCAGAGAAGCTGTGGCTGCCCCATCCCTGGCAGTGTTCAAGGACAGGTTGGATGGGGCTTGGAGCAACCTGGTCTAGTGGAAGGTGTCCCTGCCCGTGGCAGGAGGTTGGAACTGGATGAGCTTTAAGGTCCCTTCATCCCAAACCAGTCTGGGATTCTATGTCCCTTCTCTAAACCTAGCAGATTCTGCAAACTGTTAACAGCAGTCCAAGACAGGTAAGAGGAGTGAGAAGTGAGCAAGGTACAATGTAACAGATGCAGTTTTTCTACTCAGGCTTTTTTTGGCAGTGTTGTTTTTAAATTAGTCCTAGATTAGATTACAGTGAAATATTACCCCAGATTAGAGCCATGTGCATCACTTTTCCCCCCTAGTTGCAAACAGATAACTTCTTCCTTATTTTAAGAATGAAAATCTTGCATTCACGCAGCTCTCTGTGACAGTGCACTGCCACCAATACCTACTGGTTTTGGTGCTGAAAGACTGCTCTTTTTCCCAGACTACCAAAATGTGCTGCATGGACAATCAGATGTTTATCTTCCTTGATACTTATATTAACTCATAATTTACTGAGTGGCTGTCTCCTTCGCTCAACTTTGCAAGAGGTTTGCAGATGGAGAACTTTGAGAGCCGGCTCTGCGTCATCAGGGCAAGTGGTGGAGACAGCATAAGATAGGAATCCTTCACTTTTCCTTAGCCTGACATCTTCCTGGCTCTGCCACTGATTTGCTCTATACCTGTGCACAAACCACTTAATTTTTTTTGTCCTATTTATATTTTGAGAGCTCATGGGTACTCCTTAGCACCTTATAGAACAAGTCTTTGAAGGAACAGAGCTTATCTCATACTCTTTGAATTCACAATCTAATATGAAAATTTAGGTTATAAGTGTCAAGGTATGAGGAGACTATGTGGGTCGAAATACATCTTGAGCCAAGGGATCTCACCTTATGGAGTCCAGTTTCTGGAACAGATACATTCTCCAGTGTTGTCTTATCTCAAGGACATAGTTGATTCTTCTGGATGCAACTGGAATACCCTATACTCGCCATAGGGTAATTCAGATGGAAATTCAAGCACAGATGTGAACATAGGGACAGAATCAGACAAAAATAAAAGACTGGGCCTGAAATGTTTGTTGGAGTGTCTCAGTTTCAGCACAGTTTGTGTGGCTCCCCAAAAGAGTGGTTTCCCAATCCTTCAGCAGTTAATTCCCAGCTGAGATGAAGACATTACAAACATTCCTCATCAGCAGCAAAACAGTATAAGAATGACTACTCCAGTGAGCAGCTGGAAGAGCTGCTCTGCTGAGAAAAGAATTGGATTTATTTTGATTTAGATCAAGCTAAACTTTGAGGAAAACGTAATTTCCTGCAGGCTTGAAACCTGGCTTCTCAGAATGCTCTAGAAGGGCATTTCGAATCCCTGAGGCTGGCTCCTGGCTGCTGGGGAGGCCAAGCCATGTGGTCCTTTCCATGACCTGACTGCATGACTTCTCTTTTGCAGCTGTCAAAGACTGACACCTTAATATGTCTTCTGAAGAATTTTACAGGAGATCAGATTTCATTGCATCATAATTCATATTAGGAAACCCATCTAAGCCTACCAAAAGACCACCCTTCAAAGGCAGCCCGTTTTTTTGTCAGTTCCCAGAATTCAAGGGACTCACATGCTGACTCTGCTCCTGCTGCCCAGGCCTCTCCCTGGGTACCCAAGGACTGAGCACAAATTACATGTCCATTTCAAAGACCAAAATGGCACTTGAGGTTTACCTAATGCTTCTGCTGGTCTTCTTTGCAAGGCAAAATTCATCCTAAGAATCCAACAGTCATAAAAAGAAATTGTTTCTTGAATATCATATTACACCCTACATATTAGTAAAAGCCTTTGAATTAGAGGCAATGGTATCTTAAGCTAACACAGTGTTAAGATTTGAGAAAGAACTAAATCTACATGCATCTCAGGTGCATTACTTTTTGATTTCTAATATTTCTAACTTGTGGAGAACTAGGCCTTGTTTAGGGTTTTTGTGATATTAGTTAAATCACAGAATAGCTTGGGTTGGAAGGGACCTTAAAGCTGATCCAATTCCAACCCTGTGCCACAGCCAGGGACACTTTGCCCTAGACAAGGTTGCTCCAAACCCTATCCCACCTGGCCTTGAACGCTGCCAGGGATGGAAAATTCCGCCTATGAAATTCTGATGGTTCCAATTGGGCCATTTTGCTCGTTAATTTTCTTCATATGTAAGAAAAAAAAAATAAATTGTGAGACAGCCCATCATCTTGCAAACAAGCAAAAATCTGAGCCAGATCAATTTACTCAACTACCAAGTGTTTTTACAACTCTGTGATGATTAGACTGCTACACTATATTTCATTCTTTGATTACAGCTGTTCTAACCATCACCTAGAACACTAAAAATGAGCTATAGAAATGATAACACAGAGATCTTGTGGCTGACAAATGTATCTTTTGGTGCCAATAATAATTTTTCCACAATCCCAAATGTGTTACAGTAATGGTTGCCAGTTTCATTCAATGCAACATACAGAAATCAGAAAACACTAGCTTGTATAGACATCTTTGAACTTCCACAGCACTTCCACATGCAAATTTTCAGCTAGTAGTAACTTGCCAGAAAACAAAATCTTAACCAAGATTTAAATGATGAATTGGAATGAAAAAGATTGCCAATGAGAGCTCAGCTTTTAGAAACAGACAGAATATGTAGCTCACGTATTACTGTGTTCTTTGAAGGTAAAAGTATTATTTCAGATTTGAGCTGAGTCTTTATTGACCCATTTAGCTAGGCTGACACATTTTTAATACTTTAAAGTAAATTAATGATTTTCTGATAAAAAATGAACAACCTCATATTTTTTCTTGATTTATTCTTTGTCTATCAGGATAAAACGTCACTGATGTGCTTCATCCACTAAAAAGGCAGCCTACTCCTCCTCTCTTGTTAGATGATCCAGATCAGTTTGCTGTGACTACTTCATTTCAGTAAAAGGTAGAATGACTGCTAACTTATTAAATGTGTTAAGAGGACTTGTGTCAAAACTCTTCCCTTTTACTGTGCATTTTAGTGGACAACGAAAAGGGGAAAGGAGAAAATCCCATTTCCATTGGCAGGCAAGCAGCTGAAATTCTAATGTCTTCATTCTCCTTAAACTTTAAGCTAAATTGAAAGTTTTGATTGACCTGAAAACTGAGATTCCAACCAAATGAAATTACAGGAAGATTATCATTTTTCATGATCTGTGACAAACCTCTTACATGCACTAAACAGAGTTGGAAAACTGTAAAAGTTCTGATATTTGCGATGAAAAGTTTAAGTATTGCAGGCTCTAAAGAAACTTATGAGGATGGCAGATTTCAACTACAGCTAGCATTCTTGTTGATGACTGATGTTCCTTTTGGTTTGTTTATGTCTCCAGCATAGTCACCCTGTCTCAAATCTCTCAAAACCCCCACATTATATTGTTGGATTTTATAATTTTTTATTTTAAGGAAATGCTTATTTATTTTTTTAGTGTTAAAATCTTAACTCTAAAGTCATCAGCAACCCTTATATAACTCAAGGTAAGCCTCTCTTTCCAGAAATGCTTAAGTATTGCTAAGGCACAGTAGCAGGTACCTAAGTGCTTGTATTGTAATAAAATAAGAATATCTGACTTGAACAACATAAATTACCAAGTTCTTACAGAACTTTTCTTGGAACTAATATATTTAATATTTTCATTAGTGACTTTGGCACAAACCCCTAGAAAATATTAACAAAATATGATGGTGCCCTAAATCTGGGAGGCATAATCAATATGAGGAGGATAAAGAAAACCTTATAACTTGCACATAGAAATAGGATGTAGTTTGGCAAAAACATGTACTCTGGAACTGAAAGCAATAATTTATGCCTTGAGCTTGGAACTCTTCAAATTAAATAGCAGAAAAAGAGAAAAAGTTTTGGATATTAGTTGATCACAGGATAACTAAACCACTTATTAGTTGGATTGTATCTTGAAGTGAGTTAACAGAAATTTCCTATTAAAGCAAGATTATTTTAAATTAAAAAAATAAGCATAAGAACAGAAAAATCCACCTTATGACAGAGACTGGAAGACACTAGCTGCATTAAGCCTGCTAAAATGAAGCCTGAGAAGCAATATACTGCTTTCTGTAAATATATGATGATCTAAACATTAGGAACACATAAGAACTATTTAAGCTAGATGACCATATAAACACACATACATACTGCAGGTAGACATAAAGTGGATGGAAGTGAGCCATGAAGAAGAAAAGTTCTTGAACATCCTCCCAGTAAAAAAGCATGGGCCAAGGACTGAAACCATTCAGAAACTAAGGTTGAGCAACTCATTAAAAGAATTATATGCCATGGTTATCCTTTGTTATATGGAGCTGGTTTCTGTGGACCAGGTTCTTACTGAGCTGACTCAGCTAATTTTGATGAGTGGAGGGAAAGCTCAGGAACTGACCAGCACAATGCAAAAATTCTGGGTGGCTCATGGTGGGTGATCTTCAGACTAACAATTGCATCCAGGGCACAAGATGAAACCAGCGTGGCACAGGATGAATGGCAACGGTGAATACTGCTGAATACCCTAATACTGCTGTGGGGAAGAGGGTCACACTGACTGGCACCTGCAGGGGGGACAGGAAGAAGATGGAAGGGGAAGTCAGTCACAGCTAGCCAGAAAACCATCTGGAAAATAACATCTGTCATTTCTTATGTACGCTTCTGATTTTCCACCTACGTGACTTGAAAGCCTCGACTTCATCTTGAAAATATATGCACATAAAAAAGCCCCAGATCTAAGTTTTCTCACACTGAGCACTTCAAGATCTTCCATAAGTTGGGTTCTTCATACTTCAACTGAGTAAGACTTAATACTCAGTAAATACTCAGTAAGCACTCAGTGTCTTTTACGAGAAACCCTCTCAGAAATGCTTTATTTCCAGTTGAACAAACATTTCATTTAAGGATGCATTAACAACCCAAACACTAAAGCTTCACAACATTTGAAATATTTTTCCAGTAAAACAGTTCCTGTACCCTTAAGTATATTTTTTCCTAGGCTGACTTCGCAGGAAACTATACTGAGCCTCAGCATCCATTATCACAGCTGAAGTATCTATACCACAAACATACAATATCTAATTTAACTGATGGTAGTGATGGTTTGTTACTCTTACTGTTATGGTCATTATCGTGAGATAAGTCACTGTTTTTCAGAAAAACTGCATCTATTATTATTATTAAATTATTATTAATACTGTTTTCTATTATTATTATTATTAATAATAATATATAAAAATACTGGAGGAGTCTGTTTCTCTGCCACCATCTGAAAGACCATGTCATCCCTTGTATATACATACCTCCTTCACTCTTCTGCTTTCTTTCCTCCTATGTTCATTTGCCACCCAAGACAGGCATTACTGTAGTTCTCTTCCAGACATTAGGTCAAAATTTGCTACATGTGCTATGACGGCTATAATACCTCTCAATTAAAAATGTAGCTTTAGTCTAGACATGTAAACAATTTCGTATTTAAATTTGTGGAGGCCAGATTAGCCAGAAACTGGCCAAAAAGAGCTTGTCAAAAGCCATATTTTAAGCTGAAAGAAATTATTTTTCAGGTAGCATGGTGTTTTTAGAAAGCTGAACGTGTACCTGAGGAGGATTTTGTGTTTGAGGAGCAACAGGAGCCAACTCCAGGGCTAGGCAGAGTCTGCGTCAACTTGATTCAAGCCAGATCCATTGTCTCAGATTCGGTGTGCACTATGAACTGCCAGCACCAGGAGGATGTTGCTGAAAGGCAAAAGGAGCATGAATACAAAGAGTTTATATCATATAAATGATATGATATATATGATTGCATATGATTACAAAGATATTATATCCTATAGCATAAGAAACCTAAAGCACAACATCATTAACTGTTAAAATATTTTGAAGACTTGCTATCAATACTTTCTTCTGAACTGAACAGCAGTCTTTAGAAAGCTGATGAAGAGAGTAAACAAAGGCCAATCCCTGCCCCACTCAACAGGAGCCACACACAGCAGTCAGAGCAAGGGGGTTAGGGGGGTTGCAACCAGTAAAACAGATAAAGATGATGTTAGCCTGGCAGGCATAAGAAAACTACTTACAAGTATGCTACTAAGGTAACTACTTATTATTATTAATCCCAGCCCCCCAGGTTTAGAAGATGTTGTAGGTAAGCAGGTGAGTGTTGTCCCCCTTGCCGGATGCTGGGTCCTTAAGGAGGAGGGACTGGCAGAGGTGGCTCGAAGGGGCTCCACCAGGAAGGGCAGAAGAGACACAGCCGAAATGTGCTGCCTGGAAAGGAATGAAGCGACCAGGGATGCTTTGAGGAGATATGGCAGTGGCTAACATCACTGTTGGTGGCAAGAGCTGAGACCATGAAGGAAGGCATGAGTGTAAACACATGAATTCTTCAATGTACCTGCTGTGCTTAGCATGCTGTAGCATAAACATGGGGAGATGTCTTGACCCAGAAGGAAGCAAAGAGATGGTACTGGGAAAAGTTGTTATAATCTTCCTAAATAGCTGCCTTGTGCCGGCTAATGCTGGCACAGCTCCCATCTGCATCATGCTGGCCACTGTCCAAGACATTTCAGCCTTGCTGTTCCATACGTGGTTCTTTGACAATGTCCAAATACAAGGCAGTTTCTGGCTGTCCATGTGAGTCTTTTCCTAAGCAGGCACAGAGCACAGAATTTTTGAGCAGATTTGGGAGTCCTCACTGTCCTCCCTATACTCTGTGCGCTGTTTGAACAGCTTTTTCCCTTGGGAATGTCTTTAGACCCCTTGATTTCTCCACTTAGGACTGAGCTCCAAAATAGCACTTATGAGCTGACTCTCTGTAGTGGGCATGAACATTGCACAACCTCGCAGACTCTATCCACAACCACCAAAAGGAGCACAGCTAAGAAAGTTTAACTCCAAATAACATATCAAGGATTTATATGTAACATAGAATATATAAACCCCATCTTACTATCAGATCTCTAGTTTTTCCTGCCTTCCACAAATGACTTTAGCTCCATACACAGTTCCCTATAGTTTCCAAGAATGACAGAACAATCCTGCATTACTCCTTTCCCACCCTAACTTTGTCTTTCCAGCAAAAAAAGCCTGTGTTCTGGCCTAAAACTATTAAATAAATTATTTTCATTTGGCCTTGTATAATAAATAAGAATTTGGATTCTTGTTTGATTAAGCTTGTTTGCAGCTATGAAAATGTAAGACTAAAAATTTATACTTGATTGCAAGCTCATTTCTGTAATAAAATGCAGACTGGTTTTGTCTGTCTGGTTGGCTTAATCCACTGGTTACTCAACAAGCTGTACCTATAACTGCAATTACATATAAGCTTTACCAATTGAGCCAGCTGGCTAAAATCCTTTGATTGTTCCCTGTTTGAACATCTACTTAACATAACTGGTTACAAAATTCTCAATGGGTACTTGTGCAGATGTGGGTTTAGGCAATTTCTAGATTGCATGATTGCATGAAGTAAATCTATGATGTCTAGACTTTCTTTCCCACATGACTCCAGTATAGAAGGTTTTGACCAGCACTGTCACAACCTGTGTAATTTATACATAGGTAGTGTATTTTCACTGTACACAGGCCAAGTTCCTGTGTACACTGATCTCTGCCAAAGAACTTTTCCAGTTGCTCTTTTTTGATCAGCCAAGCCATGATTCTAACACCAATTCCCTTATTATTACAAAACAACGAGAACCAAACACCAATTTGCTGAACAATGTTTTGTTCATTGAAAGTATAACAAAATCATCTGGTATTTCTTTCCATTGTTCTTGTTTCTGCAAAGGAAAAGTTTTTAATTGCTTTATAAATTTGCAATGACATGTAATTTAATTGTCAAGCTATTTCTCAGTGCTAGGAGAACAGATCTTTTTCATTTCTTGGTAGTTCTTTACTTCCTTTAGATTTCTGATGAAGAGATTCCTGGCTGTTGAGATAATGTAATTACCCCTAAATATATGAAACATAAGCTGAATCTTTCATTCAGGCATTTCTGCACAGACAGTCTTAAAAGTACTCTCCAGAGTTACCAGGCTTAAAAAGAACTTACAAATACTATTTAAAAATAGTGATGATAATGACAGTCTAATTTTTAATGTCATCTCACCTGTGATTTTGCCCTCATTTGAAGAAAAAACAAACAATCAAACAAACCAACAAAACCTATGAAAATGTTTTATTCAGTATTAAACTGATTGGTATTGTGAAAAGGAACAGTAATACATAAATAAAATAGTATCTATAAATAAATATATATAAATATATATATTTAAAATAAATAGATATACATAAAGTAATATATAAATAAAATACAACTACCCCAGATTTGCTTTAGTTTGCAACTTCGTGTGCTTTGATTTCACCTTAGTTACTTTGGTTTCCTGGGTCTGCTTAAGCAGTGCAAGGAGGGGACAATACTTTAGGACCAAAATATAGAAAGGATTTTTTGCAAAAATCTAGCTGAAAAAGACAGCAAATTACTTTAGTCCTAAGGCTTGGTCTGAACATGCTTCTTAGCAGTTTGCTCAGATGGACATATTGATTTAATTGGCTGCGCTGAAAACTGTGAAAACAGGATATAACTCCTGTTGGTGTCTGTATTTATTTAGGATCCTCCTGTAGCTAGGACTCTTTGGAAAACAATGGTTCACACTGAAGTTCATTAGTGTGGGTTGTAACACATGTTATTAGAATAATCTGAACAACTAACCTGTTACTTGTGACTGCATGTTTCACCAGCAAGAAAAGAAAGGCAACTAACCCTCAAGATACTCACAATTTCCAGTACAGTTTTTGCAGACTCAGGAGGTCTGGGTCCCACTAGCTCGTTTTCGCTAACCTGAAAAAAGGACTGTGCCCTACCAACCTTCCAGCTCCCAAGGCAGCCCTCCTGCAGCACGTAAGACTCCATTCTGCTTACAGATATATATTTCCTACTTCATGATCCTCCTGACACCAATGCTGGCAGTGCCAAGTGCTCCTGGAATGGGCTTTTCCAGGAAAAACAGGATTGGTTTTGTTAGAAACCCTCTGGGCTTGTTTCGGTTTCAGAGTGACAGAATCCATGAAATCATATCTGTCACTAAGAAAGCTACTGAATCGTTGCTCTGGTTGTGGTTTAGACAACCTGATTCTTATGAGTGTGTTTTTACTAACTGATTGTACAGCTGGTGTATTTTTCCAACCTCACAAAGCCTTCGTACCAGTCATCTCCTCCTCAAATCTGCTTGCCTTCAGGATATACATCCTGCTCTTGGGATTCAGAAAGAGCCACCTGCATCCTGCTGTTTGAGAATACTACATACAGATGTACACATATAAACGTATACATACACACACATTTATATATATAAAATAAAAACCACAATCTTTTTATTACCCCCTACCCAGAAAATATGCTAACAGTTTCCATTTTCTTTATTTTTTAAAACTAAAAACTGATGTAATTAAGTAGTTCATGTTTATAATCACAAAAATCTTGCTTCACAGCACAGTTACAAGCCACGTTATTCATGATATAATACACAAAGTATGAGCCATATGTCTGCAAAAAGAGGCACACAAGTCATTATGTAGAAGCTGTATCTTTAATTTCAAACATAATTCGCAAGAACTTTTGGTTACTTAATCATTTCTACCTCTTTCCTATTTGGAAGCAAAACACACTGGGGTCAGATTCAGTTACAGCCCAAGATAATGTAACTCAGATTAGCTCACTGTGATTACATTGGTGTGAATGCTTTTCAAAATCTCAAGAGAAAAGCTTCTACTACAGATTGTTTCAACTCAATCCCTCCATTTGGCACGCAGGAACACTTTGCTCTTCCTCCACCACTGCAGCCACCCACCCTCCAGCATCTTTTCCCTCCCTAGAGACATCTATGGCAGTTTCCCTTAGGATGAAAACTTATCCCTCCAGGCTAGACATAAAACCTTCGCCCCCTGAGGTAGCAAAGGTAGTTCGAAACAAAGGAATCCTTTATTTTCCTTAGTCTCAGTGACAACGTATTCCTTTGGTACAAGGAAGCAGCTTCCCCATGGCCCCTCTAGCACGCAGCTCATCCCTCCATCTGCACACAGCAACAAAAGGAGATGTCTCCCCTCTAGCTGGAGCCCCAGCAAAACACAAGGGCTATGCCATTAGCAAAATTCTGTTTTCCACGGTTCATCTCTTAAGTCCTCCCTGGGGTCTTATCTAGAACTGGAGTTACCTTTTTTTTTTGTAGAAAAGGTAAAAATTACATGCATAAAATTAACTGATGTGCATACAAACACAGACTTACAGATATCTTAGACTGTAAGAGAAACTGGAGTTCCTTCCTTTCTTGGACTGCCTTCAAACTTGAAGACAGTTTCCAGGAATAAGAAAGTTTCTGTTTATTCTACTAACTTGTAAGACACAGCCACCTAAGTAAAAAAACCCCAAATTCTCTCACAGAAAATACAATTTTGGGTGCTCCAGTTAAAGTTGCCAAGGATACTCTTTATTGTTAATTTATTTTGTCACCCTTTGGGAGCTTTTTATGGTGTCTATAAGGAACACTGAACTTGTTTTCACAGATCCCACTCACTTTGTCATATTTATTGCTCTCCTGAAATTAGTTAGAAGCTAGAATTTGGTGCAGTGTTTCCTCTCTGCTGTTCCTGTTTAGCTATGGTAATATGCTGGATAGTCTTTGCTTTATGTTCATGTAAAAAAAAACAACCCACAAAACCAACCCAAAATCCAAGCA